CTGAATCCATCTCTTAAGCCTGATTGAATTGTTTCGTAAAGCTTGGGGAATGAATAAAACTGGGTTTGTTCATCTCTGTTAAAGGTTCGTGTTTTTGTAATATATGGATGACATATACAATCATATCTCTGTTAATTCACATGTTTCGTTGCGTTTTTGTTACATGGGATTTTTCCATTATGAGGAAAAAAATCGTACCTTTAATATATGTTTTTGTTCGTGATAATTTAATGTTCTTCTTATATACGAGAATTGGTGAATCTATGTATCTCAAGTCGAAATAATTTTTATAGAATCTATGTGTCTTTCTGAGTTACTATTTAGCATGTTTTGCATTGATCTTTATATCAATTTTTGTTTGTTTTAATGGTGCATTTATATGTTGTGCAATGCGTAAAGTTTGGATGGTGCAAGAAATGGACCCTGCAAGTGATTTAAAATAAATGAAATCTGTTTTTGTTTTTGATTTGATTTGATTTGCAGTACTATTGGATTTTTAGAGAAGGGAATTTTGAGATGTATACAAGGGCAATAAAGAGGGGTCAGAGATGGGGTTTGGTATTGCAGCAAGCCAAATACTTAGTTAGGCCAGCCACTCGCGACTACACGGTGTCCAGATCTTATGGATTCACAAATACATTAACTATTCATTTGACCAATAATGCAAATCTGACAAGAAAGTCTCTCCTCGGTTCATTTTCTTCCCGTGGTGGTACTATTGCCTCGGGAAATTGTTCAAGTTTTTCGAAGAACAGTCAGCTGCGTAGTTTTAGTTCTGAAGGTGATGGAAGGAATGCTAGTGAGGATAAAAGTGTCTCTTTGAATAAAGAGAATGGCATAGATGATGGAAAAACCAGGAAGGAGAAAAGTAATTGCGGTGTTGGGCATTTAGATTCTCATGCTCAATTAGGAGAACAGGACCAAATAGAATGGCTCAATAATGAGAAGCTTGCTAGTGAATGCAAAAAGAAGGAGTCACCTTTTCTTAATAGACGAGAAAGATTCAAAAACGAGTTCTTACGGAGAGTCCAGCCTTGGGAAAATATTCAGCTTTCGTGGGAGACCTTCCCTTACTATATCCAGTAATAATAATCTACAACATATTTCTTTTTCATCTGTTATCGTGCTTCTTTCTCCATTCTGCTAATGTACTCTGCTCATGCTCAATTCACAGCGACCACACGAAAAATATTTTGGTGGAATGTGTTGCCTCGCATATAAGACAAAAGAATGCAACTTCCATATATGGTGCTCGTTTAGATTCATCAAGTGGAAGAATATTGCTCCAGAGTGTTCCAGGTTTGTGATTGACTATCAAAAAGCAGACCAGTATTTGATATTGCTCTTCTGTTACCAGAGTATAATTATTTAAGGAATATAAGATGACCAAATCAGAAATTTGATGTTTTTGTTCAGGCACTGAGCTATACCGAGAGAGGATGGTACGAGCACTTGCTCGAGATTTAAAAGTTCCCCTGTTGGTTCTTGACAGCAGCGTTCTTGCCCCTTATGTGAGATTCTTATGAGTAACTTTATTCTTTCTGCTTTTTATGTGTCTTTATGTAATATTTGTCGACTATGGATCAGGATTTTGCTGATGAGTACAATGATGATTCTGAATCCGATGGTG